GTTTATCTAGTTTCAAGGAAACACTGACCTTAAGATTTCCCCAGAGGCCGTGAGGACGAGCCATCGGCTCGGGCTGACTTAGGGAACTTTCTCCCCAGCCCTAGGAAAAGGGAACGAACACTTAAAACTCACTCGGGCCACGCAGTGTGAGCATTTAGAACACGTTGCAGGTTTTAAGACTATACAGAATCCGCTTCAAACCCACCTTTCCCCTTCTCTGACCCCCCCCCCCGAGGGGCGACGGGGAGAGAAAAAGGGGGAGGGGAAGGGGAGCGGGAAGTGAGGTGGGAGGGCTATTGGTTTATTCTTTGTCTACTGGATTAACCCGATTATACACCAGGCACCGGCGCGGACCGCCTCCCCCACCTCGGAGCCGCGCACGCGAGGAACGGAATGCAGATTCGGTTTCAAGTACCTTCTGCTCCGGCCGGGGGATTTGCTTTTGATTGTGTCGATTTGTAGTTTTTCGGTTTAATATTAGATTTTCTTTTTAAAGGGTTAGTTAGTTACATAGATGGGGGCTTTTTGAAGATCTTGCTATTTTGTTTTACACAATAGCTGAAGGAAAGTATACAATCTAATCCTTTGAAGAATCGGTTAATTCAGTAATACGTACACGATTACTGCGGGCGACATCACGGGCTTCGGAAATGGGGGGGGGGCTCCCTGTTCCCCTGCAGATTTCCTTCTCCACTTAGCCTGGAGAGTCATCCTTCCCTACTCTCCTTGTCACCTAGCACATTTCTCAAGAAAACCCTATTGTCCGTTTTGACAATATGGACTATATTTCCCTACTTAAAAACGTAAATACAAAGCTAGAAAGGCACAGACAGGCAGTCCTCAGAAACGTGCCTGCGCGGGGGCCGGTGAGAAATCCCACCCCGGCCCCCGCACGCACCCCTGACAATGGACCCGAATGGTTCACGGGGAGGCACGGTTAGCACTCCGCAGAGCACCTGCGGTCTCGCCCCCGCGTGAAGCCGGAGTTCCTGAGACCGTGCTTGAAAACGTGGTGCTCGATTCCCGGGGTCCAGCTCCAGCCCACGTCCGTTTGCAACGACCCGGCCCCGGCTGCCCCCTCCCGAGCTCTCGCTCTAGAAAGTCCCGGGCAGGTTCCCCGCCGCTGGGCGCTCTCGCCCGCCCTTCTCCATGTTTCTTTAGGGCTCTCCCCCTCGCCCGGGGTTTGGAACTAGAGATGGCAGGGGAAGTGGCATGCGTTATTTCCGGGCGCTGGCCTACGTCCCCCCACCCTCGGGGGAGAGCGACCGAGGCTCGGGGAGACCGCTCCGCGGCGTCCAGGGGCCGCTGGCCCGGATCTGCC